AGGGAGGGAGAGGACGCATGCACTCGCCATGTTACGAATCCAGCGGTTGGCTTGGCCCTGCGGGTCGACGAAGAGTGGCCAGCGCTGTGATCCGAAGACGAGCACGGCGTTCTCGGTGGAGAGGTTGTCGCGGGGCAGGCCGCACAACTGCCAGTTGCGGATAGCCACGGGGTCACCCATGATGTCGACGGGCGACGCGGCCAGACTGTGCGGCACGCCCACCTTCACCATCAGATCCAGCCATTCGCGCAGCAGCCGGCGTCGGTACTGGTCCGTGAAGGGCGTCAGGTAGGCAATAGCCCCTAACGGACAATATCCGACATCCTTCTAAAAACCATCAACTTCAGGTCTAGATTTATGCATGGCGGATTCTCATTGTGACACTTTTCAGGGCGGTGTAAGGACGCAAGCATGAAAGAATTATGGTTGAAATCAACGTTATGTATTCCTTTTTCTGGCCCTACTATTCTCTGCAAGTTATGGAGTGACACAATGAACTCGCAATGCTTAAGAGGATGTGCTACATAAAGATGGAGAGTCTGCCCAATTCTCGGTCTAGAGGATGGGAAAGGAATGGTCGCACACATTTTGTTTCCGTGCTCTAGGGACATATTCTGCCACCCGCGTGCCTCTCGGTTCAGTCCCCGGTCACTCCCTTCCCCGTCCATGTTAGGACCCTTCGCTAAAAGTATCTCCCTTTCATCTTCTCAGCCCCCGCACAACTTTCGCCTCCGCCGCCGCCGCCTTTCGCTGACCCCCGTCCCCGCCCCCTTTGCGACGCACTCTTCTAGCTCTGCCACTACGTTCATGAAGCCGACATTGTAACTTGTCAGCGCGTGCAGTGCGAGTTTATTACTTCATTTGCGCTGTTCCTAGGAAGAACCGCCACTCATATTGAGGCTACCCAGGGCCCCTTTCCACGTCGCCACTGCAGCGCGCTTCCGATAAGAGGCTGGGCCCTTGCCTCGTCGCCATGGCACCTCCGCATCGCCGCACGCCGTGGAAGGGATGGAGTTTTAGAGTCATATTTGTCGGTGTCGAACGAAGGGACGTAGCAGGTAAAGAGCCGTGACCCAGTGTCTCCGAGGGAAAACCTCCATTTAAACCAATGCTTTGCTACCAGCCGCGGCGTTCGGAAGCGCTCTGCAGTGGCGATGTGGGAAGGGGACCTTACACCCTCGACCGCCTAGCTGCCTGTAGTCTTGCTGCGCGCTGTCAATTCCCTCTGGCACAGAGA